TGCTCCAAACAATGCTGTTATAAACGTGAAACCTAGCCATCATCTGATTAAGATACTTTATGAGAGCATAAGATTTCCATGGTGGACCCCTCTCTCCTACTTCTTCTCACATCTTCTATATCTCAAATACATAATTTCATCAACCTCAAATAGATAATTTCATCAACCTCAAATTACATTCCAAAAATCAATGGAGTTTAAGTCTATCTCATGCCGAGATATATATATATCTCGAGCGTGAGATTAGACATGAATAGGTGATCCGATAACGATTTGATGGTGGGTGGATTGCTATGATAGACTCTAACTAGACTCTAATACCATGTTAAGACTCTGATACCATGTAAAAAAGTACACTTTAAGTTTAATTCAACCCTATAAAATTGACTTGTAAGATAAGATTTACACACACTTATATATTCTAAATAGATCTTATCTCTAGTCGACGTGAGACTTCCAACTATAATAATACCATTAAAGAGTTTACTACCATAATAAAGAGAAAATAACAGTATGATACTCATTTCAGACATGATTTTCATATTTACTGATACGGTCAAAGTTCTTTATATCTTCAATGCATGTAAATTAAGCTTTACTTTTATTTTACCTATAGGTGTAAACTATTTGGTGCTTCTGGTCCAAGTTATATATATATATATATACATATATATGTGTTTGTGAAAGAATATGATTTAACATAGTAATTAGAAGAGGTGGTGGTCCATCAAGTACACACAGCTTTGTCTTGCTTATCAAGCAACCACATCCTAATACTCCCCACCCATCTCTTTCTCTCTCTCTCTCTCTCTTGTGTGTGCAAAACATTCATGGCAAAAGCATCATGATCAGCACTCCAGCTCAAAACCCATGTGAGTTTCTATCATCCCTTTTTCCCTTATTTCCATCTGGGTGTCTCACCATGTCTTTCTTTATTTCTCTCTCTCCCTAAAAATCTTAGCTTTAATCTGTTATTCTTAAATAATGAGACCGTAATTCTGCCCCATGTCGTCGTTATTACTCAAACTCCAAACTTTCTGACACGTATTAAGAATCACTGTTTACATTTAAAAATCTATTAATCACCATACATATTACCTGTTCTGCCTGCTAACTTTTGATCAAAGATTAACACTGATTGATTAACCACATGACACAGAAAAATGCAAATGTTTTGAATCAAAATTAAAATTTCACCCCATAATTTTCTTACATTATATAAACAATCTGTATGTACTGATTCTGATTCGTTAACTAAATGTTTTCGTGGTTCTTTGGGATGTGTATTTTCTTAATGATTTTATATATACAAATATAAAATAAGACACAAATTGTAAGGTTGGTAGGAGATCCTTGATTAGTAACAGCTATGTGGCCGTTTTGTGGCTTTTGCTTTTGTAGTCAAGGCTGAAAGAAAGGTGTAATACTAGTAGGATTGAGGGAAGAGAGAGGGTGGATTTTGAGCTTTAGTCAGAAAAAAAACCAACCGGGTTTTCTTTCTCTTTTTCTCTTTCTCTCTCATAAACCGCCTACATACATGCACTTCTTAAATTAGCAAAGTCTTAAAGGTACTATATGTGTGTTTGAAGCAGCAGCTAGCCACCTTTTCCTTTCTTATTTTTCTCACTGCCTTCAGTTAAAGTATCTAGCTAGATAGGGAATTCTGGTGTTTTCCATGGTTAAACCAGGTTTATAGCTCAATCTTATTGTAACTCCTTCCTCTTTTTCCTCCTCTACGCTCTTCTTTATCTTATCCTCACCGAATACTTTCCTTCTTTCCTGCATATTCTCATCTGGGTTCTGCAGATTTTTTTTTCAACGATCGGTTACAGTCGCGTACACGCTAGGGAGTCAGTGTTTTCCATCATCATTTTTTGTCCATATTCAAGAGTTTTCCCTTTGTTTGCAGATTTTTAGCCTACTTTTTCTCAACCGGATCATCATCTACATGTTTAATTTCTTAATACACATATTTATTTTCCTGATACATGTATAAACAATTAGCAGCTCTTCAAAAGTTAAGAAAATGATTAGCCATGTTATGTATCGTTGTTTCTGCTTTCTTTGTTGATCATTTTGGAGAATTTGAAGTTTTGATGGATCTGAATTGGGTCTTGGATTTTCCTGTAATATAGAGCAGAAACTTGGACATGCTAAGTGGTGGACTGTTCTATAAAAAGGGAGTTGCAGTGATATATTTGAAGGCATCTGGTTTGATCAAGAGAGATAGCACACGCACGCACACGTCACGAGATGAGTAAGATCAGCAACTTGAGTTCTGTAAGCAGTTCTGATCTCATAGATGCCAAGCTTGAAGAGCATCAATTGTGCGGATCCAAGCAGTGTCCCGGTTGCGGACACAAGTTTGAAGGGAAGCCGGTACGGAAAAATATCTCAATAATATTCTTTCCTTCACTGAAAAGCCTTTGACAGTGTATGAAGAAGAATCATATCATGCACAGCCAAAAAAGTATAGCCATATCTGTATGCTTATAGAGCTTGTGCAATTCATTTCATGGGGTTTCCCTTTTTCATTTTATGTCACTGGTAAAGTTTCAGTATTATTATTTTTTGTTAACTAAAGCCTTCGACCCTCTTTATTTTCTCTTTCCCTTGTATTATTCTTCTTGTTCCTCTTTTCTCTTTAGCTTTTGATTCTGGTTTTTCACTTGAATTTCAATGGCGACTGCAGGACTGGCTAGGCTTGCCAGCAGGAGTGAAGTTTGATCCCACAGACCAAGAACTGATAGAACATCTTGAAGCCAAAGTGGAGGCAAAGAACATGAAATCACACCCTTTGATAGATGAGTTCATTCCAACCATTGAAGGAGAAGACGGAATCTGTTATACCCATCCAGAGAAACTTCCAGGTGTGAGAGATATACTGATAAAAAAAA